ACGCTTGTTGCTACATTCCTGGCCCGTCGAGAGCCGTCACAGTCTAAATAATAATAGTCCTACAAGTGATTTGACCTCAGAGTGCTCAATTAAAACGTTAGAACGCTCGCACGGTGATACATGACGCACATACAATAATAGCTAAATTAAATAATTATGCAGATATATTGTTTACTAAAGTTAACATGAAATAGGACGTTGTGCTCCGATCCATCTATATTTACGAAACTATTGTGATAATATTTATAACGTCCGTAATGAAATTGTTGTTGATTATTAGAACGGTCATTAGAGAAAAATTTAAGAGATTCGAATTTGAGTCGAAAATGAAGTCTCAGTCGGACATTTTGCATTCATAAAGTGTAATGGTGTCGGCATTTAGTGATTTACAGTATATTTATTGTATTTGAAGTTGGGTAAACGAGATTAAAAGGCGTGTACGGCGAGGCGGAGTTGCGAGGCTGGCGAACGCCTCCCGCCGCCCACGCGCATGCGCCGCGCTTACCGCGGGAAAATTTACACTAAAGAAAACTTTTCACGACTTTAAATTTTAATAATCGAGGTGGGCGGCGTTTTGGCTTCCAAAACGGTCGACGGATTCGCAATATATCCTCGACAAAAGTCTGTATTATTTCTCAGTTGGCAATTTAATTTTGTAAATAATACGCTTTGCCGTCGAGGGTCAAACGGAATCTATAGGAATAATGACAATCCCCGACGAGGGCATCGTTGACAAGGTTAATTTGATATTCAAATGGATATATTTTCAGAACATTTGTATGTTAATCGGAGAAGGAAAGGTGAAGTTCAGTGTCGCAGACGTGGGTCGTAAAGGTACGCCGTCCCGTATTTAAAGTCTACAAAACAATACATACATTAAATGTGTAATTATCGATTTAAGTATGGAGTTCGATACATTTGCATTTCGGGTGGGTTTTGCTGTCTTTTTGGAAACGCGCATTGCGACTCAAATGTAACTATTTCAATCTCCAGTGTCAGATTGCGTTGCAAAATAAAAACATCCTTATTAACGAAAATATGACAAACGATAGGTCGTTAAGAGTAGTTTATAGGGCGGAGTCCCTGTGACATCAGCGGCTATTAACTGCGTGTTAACGGGCCGCTAAAAATATTCCCTACGCGCACCTACTGCATCGCAGAAAATTTATTGACGCATTTGTGGAAAGATTGAACACGTGTTTGGCTTAATTATATTTTAATACAATTACAAACCAGTCATTAACATTTAAACAAGCGAGAGCTTTTTGCCTTTGTTTCAATGAAAACTTAAACATTAGAACTTTGTAATACGCCCAGCTTCGCGATTTATAGTTGGGGTATCGGGAATAAATGAAAATATTGATTTAGTTATACATTGCCTCAGTTAATCTATTTTGAAACAGAGCACATATTTATTTCTGATTCTCGTTGCGTTACTCGGTTTCCGTTAGTGTCCGTTCGCACACATACACTCTCGTTAATGTAAGATATGACACGGCAACAGCAAAGAGAAGCAGCACCTGTGTCCGTCGGGCTGGAGATGTGCATATAATATAGACGGTAGTCAAGTCAAATTAGGTCACAGTACATAATAAATATTATGCAATCGCACAAAAACAGCAAAAGCGTTGCTAAGTTACCACGGAGTGAAAACATAGCGAAGTCCCCCAAATGGCTCCGACCATACTCTTATCTGTTTGCTATTGTTTAACATGCTTTTTTCATTCCCACGCTCGAAGAGCGAGCTCGCCTGATAAGCCATACCTGTCTAGTACCTGACACGTCTTAAGGACCATGCATAATACGAAAGTTATTTCGACTGAAACCCGCTTCACATTTATAATATAAAAATAAGTTTACTTTTGTTTCAATTTTTGTCGGAGGCACAAATTATTTTTTACGATAGGTACGTCATACGTTGTATTATCTCTTGCGCACGCGAGGCGCATTGTTTAATTCAAACGGCATAAAACAAAGACAGTCGGGAGTCAAGTGCAAAATTCACGGGCTTACCGCGCGCACGGGCAGCGATATAATGCAGTGGGTATATGAACCGAACCCATTATCCAATGACGAACTTCAATTACCCATTTAATGTAATTTGGGCCATTACAATGTCCATTGCGGGTTCTCGTACATTCGCGGTGTCACTCACTCGAAAGCACCGATTAGCGAAATCACAACCGGGAGACCCGCTCTCTTATCTCGGCAGGTCGGTTTCGGGATAGGTCATTTCACTCGTCCGCCGTACGTCCGGATTCACCTACTCTATTACCGCGACAGAGTGTGGGGGCGCGCGCGCGTGTCTACGGCCGGTACGCGACTACCGCTCCGGCGCCGGCGGAGGGGCGACGCGAAGCTCACTCCCAGTTCGACTTACGAAAATTACCAATTGCGATTGTTCACTAATTCCACTGTTTTTCGTTTTAAGTTAAGCGCCGGCAAACCCCGAACGCGACGCGACTGACTCGAGGCAGGATTTTCGTTCCGGACACCGAGTGACTTTTTTCGAGAGGAGCTTCCGATAATAAGCTCCGGTGCGGTGTCACGCATCCGGCGGCACCTGCTCGCACTCGAGAGGAAACTGCGCGTTAGAAGGAGATGAAGTGATCGACGAGAGCGCAGACCGGATGGCGGACTCGGTTATGAATGAATGCCGCGTCCCTTTCTGGCGCGTAGGCTCGTCCCGCTCTCGCACAGGTTGTCGCCGCGCCCGCGGAGGAAGTGAAAGGGACGAGAGGCGGCGTAGTAAATATTGCACGTCGTGAGCCCGCCGGGACTATCTCTATGGCTCACTCGTTATCTCCTTTGGCGATAATCATTCATCTTTCATTGATGGGTTCGCACTGCGGACAACGCAGGTTAACACTAGTTCAGAAAGGTCCGGTAGGGTCTAACGTTTACCCAATAACTGCCAATAATGAAAACACAAAGGCCCCACTAAAACAGAGTATGCTCGTTTAGGTGCGGCATAAGGGCGTGACGTCAGCCGCAGCTCTACGCTGGAGAAGGCGAGGGTCGCATTGTTCACGAGAGGTGAGGCGCGCCTGCAGCGAAGCATAGCGTCGTGGAATACGCACGTGGAGCAGTGCTTTGTTGTACTAATATGAGACCTCACTCGGACCCGGCGACCCAATGCGTCTGTTGTGTTTTCCAAACCCTCTGCTGTCGCGTGGCTCACAGCTGCGACAAGGTTGAACCTTTTTCACGCAAGAGTTACCACTCGCCGATTTGATTTGAGAACAAACGTAGAAAGTTGTAAGCTCATTACGAGTCCTGTCCGGTTCGATTGGCCAATGAGCTTAGGACTTTGTAACGCAACAATTGACTTTCACTGAGACAAACAGAGGATGTGGCCCGTATTGTCATCAGCGGTCTCCGTACACCATTGGGTCAACGCTGCATTGTCTCACATTTACAAAAATTACATGCTTAGAATAATCATGCATTTATAACAAATAGTTGGGTGGTAATGAGGTAAAAGGAATTCTAAAGGAAAATCTAGTGATTTTAGCAATTCCTTTTGCAACAATTTTACAACAATAATATTACAACAATTTGTGGAGATTAAACCATAAAGACAATGAACAAAGAGCAAATCTGTACAGTGAAAACATATGATCACAAATCAAACGGATCACGGTGAGGCTTGCTGTGCGCCAGGTGCTACGCGGGAAGTCACTCCTCCCCCTCGCGCGCTTCCCCTCACCCAGACGACACAACATATAGAGAACTCCTTCAAATACAAATAATTCGACTTGAAAATCGACGTCTTCTTAAAAAAAAGTTATTTAATCACCTTCCTAGAAGTAATAGATCGCTGCCATGTAATGTTTTCAAGGGGAAGGTAATTAGGATTTTAAAATCAAGGTGCTTTTGTAGCATGAGCGAGTATTTAGACCATAAGTTTAACAATTATAAATGACTTAACTTCTTATTATGACATGATTTTAATGTTCTTATTATATGACATTGCAAAAAATTTATATGACATTTGCATGCCTATTTATATATATATATATGGCTGATTGTGCGGATTTTTCTTGTTGTTCGATCTAATTGTACCACTATCTTGGCAAATAAACGATTTATTTATTTATTTAAAACTAGCCGCTCCCCAGTTGGCCATTTACTGCACTTAAGGTTGGGTCCCCTTTAATAGTTGCCTGCTGACCAGTGCTCGCTAGTAAAGTTTGAAATTTTGAATGGAGTTTGTTGCTACAGCCGACAGCACAAACTCCAGTATTCGGTATAGGTTCTCAGATAGAATATACTACACGATAATTCAATGAGAGAATTTTTGAAACTATAATAAGACATACAAGTCTCGTAAACTGTGCGATCACATACATGCCGCTAAAAAGACAGAAAGTTATGGACCGCCAGATAGCCGCTGATAAGGATATACATTGCATATCTGTAGCATACGTCAAAGTATCCAAAGAATGCTTTTAAATGGTGCTCTTTACATCCATAATTGTTCATGTATACAGTCCACAAAGAAAATTATCACCAGGTAGCGAGCCTATACAATGACTCCTTCCGGTTCAATCTACATTTTGTAACAGAGGAAAATAAACCCTGCGTCTTAGAGAATTGGAACTAATATCGAACAGTGGATAGATGCTCGGGATGTGTAGAATCGATTCTCATATTGTCAAGACATACTGAACTTTATCTCCGCGAGATTAAAGTTATAATCTAAAGAGGAAGGTTACGTTAGGATGCAGGCCTACCTAGCATCCGGTATACGGCAGTGTAAGGCGATACCGTGGGGAAGTGCAGACAATTTTAGGCCTGACTTACGGTTTTCGAGTGAATTAATGATTTTGTCCAATACTGTATTTAAAGGACACTATATACATTGTTAATATTTTAACACAATTTAGTAAATAAAGTGAGATATAATTTGATTGAAATGTAATGTATATCTAATAATAGAAATAAACCTTTCATTAGCCGGGACCGCGGTGCGCATTCGGGAGTCGTTGAATGAAAAGATGGCCTCTATTCTGAGCAGGGGTACCATTCGCAAAGCATCATTTATCCTGCCGCAGTCTAGACTTGAATTACGGACAGTAAATGTCGAACGGAACTATAAAAAGTTGAGTAAAAGGCGTCGAAAGAAGGCAGCGAATTTAAGCCAAACCAGTTTAATGAGGGTCGTATTTAAATACGAAAATAAAGTTCCCACGGCGCGCGCGGGAACCGAAGGCTCCGCGATGTCGTCGTCGCCCGAGAGACGCCTCCTTAGCGGCCTTTCACCGACGTAACCTGGTCCCAGAGCGTTCACAGATTCCTTGAGCGGTGCGAGAGCATGAATGCGATGACCGATCCATTTAAATCAGTTTGCGGAGAAGGTGATCAAACAGGTCCGTGAAATAATTCCAATGAATATCATGTTTTGCGATTCGATCGCGGACAAGTTTCGTGGTAGGCCAGTAGCGTGAGAATATTTTTAAGTTTATCGAGCTCACTTTTATTTCCCAATGCGACACTCGCATTATCAATATTAATTTGGCAAGCAAATTAACGACAAAGAAACAAAACACGTTTTATACATTCACTTGGTGATTTTGAAAGTTCGTAATGTATTTTGATTTTCATTTAGCCTCGTTGTAAAAGTTTTCTTAGTGTTTATGAAATATGTAAGATGTTGCTCGTTTAAGGCGAGGCGGGATCTTTTGTCGCCGCTTTCGATAATGTCAACATGACCTTGCTCAGCGGAACTTGTGACACCTCTATTTGTACACTTTTACGAAGGCATTTCAAGTAAATCACCACGTTCCATATTTGTCTCTTCTTTCCAGGATTTCAACGCGTCGTTTTAGCTTTGTTTTTAAATAGTATTTCAAATATTGAAGGAGGTTGTAACTGACCTTGTATGAATGCTTTATTTTAGATTACAATCTTTTAATTATTCCGCGACCGGAGATAATACTTATTATTTATTAAACAGTCGCCTGCATCTAATCTAACACATTAATTGAAACCAAACTAATTCACAGACCGTGTAATTTGAATTAATATTATACAAAATCGGTTTCCGGTTACGCAACGGATAGTAAAGAAACGCCATACCTACAAGTGTTTATTTTAACATGTAAGTTGGTTCATTAAGTGCTGGCATGAATGGTGCTGGCCGGTGCGGGGCCGGAGGGGGACTGGTTTGATGAATGAACCTGTAGGTCTGCTTTCGTCGCTACATCCAAGGAGAAATTACTAGAACTAGTTAAATGTAATTTCATTCATTACCAACTATGATTGTTGTTTAGTCATACGTTATCCTACAACGGAAGACGATTTCCACGTGAAAAATGTTAGCAATTTTCAATGAATATACCACACTGATATAAAGCGAAACATTATTAAAGTTAATATGAAAAAGGCTTTTGTGCATTGATTCATGTCGGTAAACGAGTAACGCAGCAGCCAAGAGTCACCCAGGTTTACTTATTCTGTTTGTTGAGACAACAGAGAGGCATAAAGGGTTAGGTGATTCGACATCCCAATACCTCGCATCGACTAAGCAAATTCTATCTCTCTTAGATTACAGTTTTAAATGCTCGCGAATATATTTACTAATGAAATCAAAGTACCAGGTCTTCATGAGCTTTCAGAGGCACTTTTAAATAAAATAAAAGTTAATCGCTTCTTGAACCTGAGGTCAGATCGTCGGACCGGTCTCGAAGTAGGCTGTCGTAACAGTCATAATCTCCGGCGAGTGGTAGCGCCGTCGTGAGAACAAAACAACAAATTTATAAACTCCACAATTTATTCAAGGCATAACGACTCATTAACGCTCTCCTTTCTGCTTTTATTATATTATCTGCGGGTTTTCATCGCTCTTGACAAATATTGTATAAAAAGTGTGTTCGTAATAAATAGCTCTGCGGTTTGGCTCTCGTGAATAAATTAGTGATGGCCTTGTTTATATCAGACGTGAGAACGTTTTTTGTCTAAGAGGGCGAACATTTTATAGAATCGATTTGCATTTTTCCGTAAATTTATTTTTTACTTTCGATGACAAGGATAAAATGATGGTAAGGAACAAATTGATTTAAACCGAGCTCAAACGGTTAAAGCCTGCATTATAATTAATCAGTAACGACATTCGTCAAAAAACAGCTGTAGTTAAAGCCTGCGGCGGCATTGGGAGCTAAATTGTGCAATTTGGCAAAAGTCATACGAGCACTCAAAAGCGAATTCGAGGCAAAAAGTGGAGACGTGTGAAAATGCATGGCTTCGGTAATACCCCCGAGCGATGCTGGCCATGCCCATCGATCGGAGCCCCTTTAACGGCTTGCAAAGCTTAATAATGCTTTTTTTGTCGCTCGCTCATTAACATACGTCCGAACCGACAAATACTTTTAAGCAAAAATCAATTTAATTTGTCGGCTCAATCTTTATGGAATAGTTTCCTTTTTCATATATAAAACGTAGAAACGTTAACAATATGGGCCTCCGAGTGAATGCGAATCAGAGAAGCCGTGCGAGATCGAAGCGAGGCCCGTTAAGGCAGGAAATGTCCGGCTAAAAAACCAGAAAGTCGACATCTCCATAAGACACAGGAATATCGACTTCCGCTAATTATTTACGATATATTGCGTAACGGTGAAACGACGGGATGGAACTGAGAAAAACACCACACCACGCCTTGTATCATTCTAGATTTGACTTTACGCTGCATTAATAAAGTTTGTTTTAGGCCAGCCGATCTACTCGGTCGTTCGTTGTTACAGCGAGTTTGAACCATCTCGATATGAACGTTCGATCGATACAATATTTTGATCGGATTTTTCGTTTTATAACTAAACACTGAGAAGCCAAATTACAGTATCGCGACAGGTTAAAGGGCCCGTGTACGCCGGTGAGTAATTATACCGAAGCAGGAATACCTGGTTATACCGAAATATGGTTATACCGAAGCAGGAATACCTGGTTATACCGAAGCAGGAATACCTGGTTATACCGAAATATGGTTATACCGAAGCAGGAATACCTGGTTATACCGAAATATGGTTATACCGAAGCAGGAATACCTGGTTATACCGAAATATGGTTATACCGAAGCAGGAACCAGGAAGAGCGTCGTACTATCTCAACAGTTAGCCGGAAGTCGCTCGATCTGTGAGTTCATTCATAAATGAGTTTGTCAGAGCGACAACGCCACGTGTCTCCTTCATCTTTTAAACAAAAATGGACCCTTTCCTTCTACAAATAAAATACAAATGAGTATGATAGCGACGCAGTTATAATTACGCTTGAATTAAACGAAGCATTTAATTGAGTAGAAATGGGAATAAACATCATACCTATGTGTTATTACCAGCTAGACGATACGAATACATTTAAGTTATTGAATAGGCATAAGAAGAAAACGAGGATACTCTTTTAATTGTGAAAGTGCGTTTACGGAAACTCCTGCGTGTCCACTAGAACCAAGAGAAAACATAAAAAAAATGAAAAACTTGAATTGGCTAAAATAGGAAATAGCGGAAACGGCAATGAGCGCCGGTTGTAATTAGTGCGGTCCTCGCAGACGCCGGGGCGACACGGGTCAAAGAGCGTTTCTGATTGTCCTAATCGAGTTAAGGCGAGGACAACTAAACAAAAAGAGTAGCACAATTAAAGGGTGCGTGGGCGCAGGATGCTCCAACTAGCCCACTAAGCGACCAAATTCAATTATGCACGCTCTCATTTAAACAAACAGTGTGTGGTAAACGGTTATATTTATCTAGGACCCTTCCCATATGAATGGGGTTTTGTGGGTTTTAAATGTGTTCAATTATTGATTTCATCCAAACATTATTAACGGTATTTATAATGAACAAATGGTTGAACACTGATCCGCTGAGAATAGAAAAGTAATTGTAAATATTATTCCGTAAACAGGTAGCCGTTTCTCAAACAAGTCTGAAAGGAAATTAATCTATTTCATTGCCAGTGTATCTTATTAATTATTTTGGAATTATCCGTCCGCATTCACTCGTCACAATTACATTCATTTCCATGCAAATGAAGAAAAAGTTTATCAGAGGAGCGAGGCGATTGAACGTAATTCACAAACTTCGACAGTCGATAATATCTCGTCCGCGGAACGGCTCCAGGGACAGGAAGCGGCCGCCGGATGTGCGTATCTAGCCGCAGTCTCTATCTCATTCATTTACTGCTTTGTCATATTCCACTCTTTCGTTTTAACGGTCCTCCGTCCCTCTCTAACCCGTGCCACGAGATATATATCTATCCCGCTCCTCGGTACTATTCCGATAGCGATTGCGTAATGAGGTAGTCGAATTTAATTTAATATTTTCCGACCGTTATAAATTATTACGTCGTCTGAGCTTACCGCTCGCTTATTATAAAGTTGGCCGTATAACTATATTTTTTATTTATTGTCGTGCGACTTGGTGAGGGCGATAAGGTGAGGCCAAAATGTTGTACTCGTTCAATTGTCGCGGAACGGCACCGCACAAAACGCGAGGCAGCTAGAAATCATCTCTGCGGCCGCATCCGGTCACTCTGCTACTAGCGTTTTAATTATTAATGAAACTGCCCGTGCGGGAAAGGCGCACCGCGCCCGGCTTAGCTTCCGCTCACGATGCTGAGCTTCATTCATAAAATCAAACACTCATTCATAAACACGCAACTCCTCAAGCTGCGTAAACGAAATGGAGTCTTGTCTCATCCCGAGAAGGTGTATTATCAATTGTCACAATGGGCTTTTATTCTTCGTTCGATTCGTTAGCTCGAGTATGGAATTGACTCGAAATAGACATTGAAAAAAGATGTAACGAATAAAAGGTCTAGGCGAAAGTGGTCGTTCGGGCCCAAGCGGAAAGCCGCTTTCCGTCTGTGGAAGCTTCACCGGTTGTGTCCCATTGCGGCGACTATATTCTCGGTTGATTTACTCGATTCTAGTGAATGGTATGCGTTTTGTGGTTGTTGAGGTGCGAAGCACTCGTAATGAATGAGTGGCCACTATCTCCTCGCTAAGCGTCTCAAGCTAGCCACGCGTTTCGCTCCCACCGAATAAATAGTTAGTTTCACGTTTCTTTAGGAAACTTCTACGCTATCCTGTATATTACTCCATCAGTGGCCTAACAATAGGGTGGCAGGGATGGCAAAATGTCACTGGCCCCGACCCAAGAGGGCCCCTGCTCAACAGATATTATGTTCTATGGATGAATGTGAAGTCCCCCATACGCATAGTGCTAGCGTGAGGACTATAGACCATTCCCTCTCACCTAAGAGAGGCCTATGGCCATTAGTG